AGTCTGTATCATAACAATCCCAGGACTGTACAACACAGTTGGAGGTTACGGTTGGGTTAGAACCCCGAACCCATTCACTTATAAAGATGTGACGTCATACTTTGATTTGGTTGTCGAGTGGTTTTGAATCCCCGCCTGTACGTGACAAGGGGTAGGATCGCGAGCGAATTATTGAAGTAGTACTGAATCATATGTTAGTCACGAAATGACCTAGGTTTGACACCCCCCCCTCTCTCTCTCTCTCTCCCCGCCCACCGCCCCCACATCTATTTGTATACATAGCTATATTATTTTGTTTCAGATGATTGAACTCTGTCATGGGTATGGTGTGTTCATATATCCATCAGATCTCGTCCACGTCAAGAAATTATTCGAGAAAACAAAGAGTGGACAATCCGTGACTCGTCACCTTCTGAGCGTCATGTTTACAAAAGAAAAGCTATGTTTCGGTTCAGTATCAAAAGATCCTAAACCTGGTCTGGCGTCATTGGATGCAACCGTAGTTCAAGCCATAAGAGGTAAAATTTTGTTTTCACAGTGTGGCATGGTTACTATGGTGCCAGCATATTAACACCACGTTCGATCTCGGTGTAGGCCGAGAATATTTTTCGAAATTTTCCATTCCGGTTTCTTCTTGTCAATGGTGCTGGGCGGTGTGTCTGACAAGGACAAGATCTAGCTCTTGTCAATGGTGCTATGGGCGGGGTGTCTGACAAGGTCATAATCTAGCTCTTGTTAATGGTGTTAGCCGGGATGTCTGACAAGGACACGCCTCTAGCTCAAATGGTTAACAGAAAATCGGGATTTATCCGTGTCGTGCTAAAAAAAGGCGCTTGACAGTTGGTTCAGACCCTGCACTGTAACAAACATATCCATGTAAAAACGTAAAAAAATTACGGAAACAAAAATTACCATGAAAATTTTATCCGTATTTATTTATCCTTTAATTTACAGAAATTCCTTCAATTAACATAAATTCCATTTGGTAAATTTTGTTTCCTGAGCATGAAGGTGATAAAAATTTCATTGAACGAACCATTGACTTTATACGTGTGCATTAATGACTTTATTTACTGTCCGCTTCCACCGAAGTGATATCGAAGGAAATCTTTAAACGTAACCTCTGTTCGCTAATATAAGAATCGAGAGCAAGGTATCACAAACCGCTACTCGACGGTGGTTGGAGGCTTTCAGATGTGAGTTTGCGGTATTATCAATTTGCAGGTATGTAGACGCTGTCATAGAGACAAACCGACTTACACTGGCCAACCGGTTATACTATCCAGATTCAAGCGTGCTTGATTACCAGATACTACCTTTTCACACACGCAGCGTTAAAACATATTTTTACACATTTATGAAAATACTTACAATCTGATTACCGTATGATGAATAACAATAAACTTTATAGATCTTATAAATAATGGAAATTAGATATACATGTCAATTAATATACCAAACGGTACAAAATATGATTCTTCATATTATGGTTAATATATTGAAATGAGTACTTTAACATGATAATTATTAGGAATGATTATATATGTATACGATTACTTATCGGTACCGATAACAGAATTACAGAAGGGAATAAAACATTATATCCCTAATATTCACGAAACCTCCTGGTCATTCCACCATTTATTCCGTAAAATAACAGAATTAAGTCCATTATAGAAGGGAATAAAACATTGTTCCCTAAATGTCACGGAAATTTCCTGTTTAATATTGAATATTCCACTGAAATAGATAAAACACGTAATTTGAAGAAATAATTCATACTATTAACACAATTTCTCCAAAAAAGTAATCAATTGACAAAAAAAGGTGCTAAACTACTGAATTCGCTCACATTAAAAATGGATATTTTTTACAGTGTGGGGTTACCCAGCCCATACCTAATACATATTAGCCAACTAGACTGAAACAATGGCCATTTTATAATGTATGTTAATCATTTCAGATTACTGTGTAGCAATGTCAAAGGACAAGAATGTGGCCATTAATCAAGCTCTTCACAACAAATTAACCACGTACAGATATAAGGCGAGGTGTAGGGCAACAAGTCCTGAATACTGATCATTGACAGTGCTTATCTAGATGAAATTATGGATGACGAAACCCCCGTGCTTATTGAAGGAGTCAAGTCGCTAACTAACTCAATATCATCCAGTCTTCGACAATGCAAACAGAAACGATTGATGTTTCAGTCAAAATGAAAATATTAACATTGGCACTTGAATTGCGTGTAGAATGCTTCGGGTACCATTTGCATTAAGGGACTCGATGAAGGAGACTTAATATATCCCACGTAGAAGAATATCACCTTTTAAATTCAGACCCTTCGCGTATTTCGCCAAACATAACTGATTATAAATTACAGTATAATAGAAACGATTGAATGTAAATCAGGTTATATATATTCATAATACATTATTATTTGTTGCGATCTATTTGTGTCCATTACTGGGTGCCACAGAATAGAGATTTAGCTCTTTCTGGGTTGATTGCTTATTATATTCAAATACTAGATTGGTGGGGAAAACCCGTTCTTATTTAATCAAGATGCTGAGTTGGTGGAGAGATTTAAGGCCAAGAGTAGCGGAAAGATATCAGTAGAATATACCACAAGTTCCAAATACCGATTATTGATAGTGCTTTTATTGCTGGGTTTGTGGGGGAAACACCGGATTGTTTAGTTAAAGTGCTGGATGGTGGGGGATACCCTGTGATTATTTAATAAATATACTGGGTTGGCGGGGAACCCCGGGCTTGTTTAGTTAAAATATTGGGTTGGTGGGGAAATCCCGGGCCTGTTTAGTTAAAATACTGGGTTGTTGAGGAAAATAAATTTATCTTTAAATTGAATCCGACCTCTGTTTTATTGTCTCTGAAACATTTCCACCGCGGCGCCCTAACCTAACCAGGCGGTGTGGCGTGTTTCATTGACTTGAAGACCATGATAAAAGTGACCGTAAATATAAAAGTAAATATAAAAGTAAACATAATCAATCGCTGTTTTAATGAAATGCAAATATGCTTGTTTTTGTTCAGTTAATATCGATGTGATTCATGATGTCATAAATCAACCTCTTCTATGTACCAGTTTGCATACATGAAATTAAAGGGAGTAAAATGAGATTTAACCTGTTACGAGTTTGCTCCAACTGGGATAATGAAGACGGGCATACGCCGCTACGCCCTCCTCTTATATCGAATTCCAACTGTCAAATGTACGTCAAAGTGTTCACCGGAAAATCACAGAGAACTTTCGAAATCAACAACGGGATTGGACCACTTGCCCCTAGTCAACGAATAACTGAGCCACGGCGGCTCCCATTTTTTAAAGTATCAAATATATCAAGTATCATCAAGTCTATAATACCCGCCCTTGTCTTCTGCCCCGATTGGGTTAACAAAGACGGACATACGCCACACACAAGGCGCTATGAGGGGAAATTTAACCAGTCAACGACGCTACGGCCTACTTTTATGTCAAGGGTTCTGCACGGGACCTCAGTTTTCTGTACCATCCGAATGACTACACCTTTTTTCTTGCCAGGTCTGAAGGCCTACACCACTGCCAACCCAGGATGAGTCAATAGGGGGACGATTAGGTTAACGTCCGCTTTAATTGAATCAATTGGTGTGGGTTCGATCCCGGCTTATTACTGGCCACCGTCGTGCTAAAGACCTGTACACGTGCAGGCTAATTAATTGATGGATTAGAGAAATATCATATGTCGACGGTGTTAAAAAAAACTCAACTAGAACGCCCAGGGTCACATCCCACTTGTCCGGGATCCCTGTCAGCGAGAGGCGTGGGGGGTCGATGAATGTTAGAAGGGCAGAATCTGAAATACCCGAAAACATTTCGGTTTACAGAAAGGGAGATTTCGGGACTAACATGGTTTGTTTTATGTAAAGGATTCGCTTAAGGATCTTTAGAAGTGGGAGGTAACCGCAAAACCCGGTGAAAACTTATGAGGTTGGACACTACGTCTTGTCACGTACAAGTGGGGAATCGAAACCATGCCATTTGACTCAATGACAGACCTTATGATCTAACGCGCTCGCGTTAACCATTCGGTCACGCAACCCCAAGCAATATTTGGAGAATTAATCTCTCAACTAAATATCCGCTTCAACCACAAGGATATTAAAGATACATTGTCACAAATGTATTTATCAGGTGGTTATTTCCAGTAAAAAGTATGACATGATATATGAAAAGTTTAGACGCCCAATCTTACTAGGAAACTACTCGATTACCGTATCATCTCAATGGAAGCGGACGTAAATTAACCTTGATATTATATCAAGTATTATAATATCAAGGGAGTCGTGGTGGCTCAGTGAGTAACGTCTATCATAGAGTCAATTGGCGTGGATTCGGTTCACGCATGTACGTGACTAATACCCCGTTCAGACGCTTATTTTTAAACCAGTTCAAAATCGCCGGGGTTTTTAAGACAGCGTCGTGTTGCGTTCACACGTACTATAAGTCAAACCTGTTTAACTATTCTGACCTCTTCGGTCGGAGGTTAGAGTTAACTATGCATGCGTACATACCATTTCCTGGTAGAATATGTAAACATCCTGTGAAAAAAAAATCCGCGAAATTTGTTTCTCTTACTCTCGGATAGTTTATACACATTTCCTAGAAATGAATACTAATGCTTTGAGACATAGAATTAAACAATTTAGACAACGACAGAGTCAACAAAGGTACTTCTTTCTGATGCTAATGAGTGTCACTTCTGTGATATTCATGCCAACCAACAGGAGAATATGGTCACGGTATCACAGTGGCAATTGGTGGAATCACGCATACAGAAATTGGTTTGATATATTCATATATAATGTTTTAAAATTTATAATCATTATAATGTAGTCAAATATGTACACAGACAAGGTGTATAAAACAAATATTAACCAAGGGGTCATCAATTAAATATTTATAGAAAATATAACGTCCCCCCCCCCCCCCCCAAAAAAAAAACAACCTAAAAAAACAAAACAATCTTCACACAAATAGGCCTGTGCTATTATATGTGCCATATAGACAATTTTTAATTTCGAATAATAATAGTTGCATGCTTAAAAGAGCTAAATTGTTAATATTTGGGATCTAGAAATTGACACAAATGGGTCGCAACACATAATTTCTAATTAGTTATATTCGTCGAAATACTCTAGATGTCTAAATCGAATGGCAATGTCTAGCAACTGGTTATTCCAGTCTACACTGATAGTATTTATTGTGCATGCTCTCCAGATAAGAATATGACTTGTGGGAATATATGTCTAGCCTCGTTCTTCTAGTCCCTTGTTACAAATGACACTGAAATGCATTACACAATTCGTGTACCAATGGTTAAATGTTTGTTTTGTCTCAAATATTGGATATCAGAAACCCATCTTTTCCCCGTTAAGATCACAAGATCAATGTTGATTGAAATTGACAAATACTTTGTGTTTTCAATGTCGCAGATTTTGGATGATATTGACTACTTTAAGTTTAATTATTTACCTAATCTAATTCCTTTACATTTTATTTTCAGCTTTTATGATGATATACAGTATTTGGAAAACTTCAGAATGTCAAAATGTACATTTGAATATCTGTGCAGAATTTTGAGACCATTTCTTGAGAAACAAGTAACAAGTATGAGGGAACCAATATCTGTTGAGCGACAGGTAGGCTATTTTGCATTTTATGATCGCTGTATTGGTTGAGATATTCACTTCTGCTTGGAGAATATAAGAACATGCAACACATACTATTATTTTCTATGTTGGCCGCCTATTGATTTGGATTGGAAGTAGATATTTGTTTGTACATGTAGATGGCCTTAGTAAAAAACAAATCTAGTTTTGTCAATTTAATACTAGACTGAATAATAGATTTTATCACTGAACTAAAATGATTGGAAATATTGAGAACAATCTTCTACCCCTCCCATTTAAAGTATGGTAACCCTTTTTTTTTAGGTTGGCATAAGTTTATGGGTTTTAGGGACCAATGCTGAGTACAGAACTGTTGCTGCATTATTTGGGGTTGGCCGGTCAACCGTGTCTTCAATTATACACATATTTTGTGAGTCCCTGATTTCGATCAAGGACAAATTCATTAAATTTCCATCAGGTGAAGAACTGAATAGAGTTGTAAATGGGTATCGGTCGAAATGGGGATTTCCTAATGCAGGTGGAGCAATAGATGGCAGTCATATTCCTATATTAGGACCGAGCATGAACCATGCTGACTTCCATAACAGAAAAGGGTGGTATTCCATCATTGTTCAAGCAGTTGTGAATGATCGTTATGAATTCACAGACCTAAATATCGGGTGGCCAGGAAGTGTTCATGATGCACGAGTCTATGCAAACTCCAAAATATATGCAAAAGGGCTGTCTGGGACATTATTTGCCGGCAAGATGATTGATGTCAATAATGTGCGCCTGCCTATCGTCTTGTTAGGTGATCCGGCTTATCCATTATCCAACTTTCTAATGGAACCATACACAGACAATGGACACCTGACCCAAAAACAAAAGACATTTAATTATAAGCTAAGTAGTTCACGCATGACGGTAGAAAATTCCTTTGGTCGCCTAAAAGGTCGCTGGCGCTGCTTATTAAAGCGATTGGATATGAATGTTGACAAGGTCCCCAATATTATTATGACCTGTTGCATACTTCATAACATATGCGAACAAGCAAAAGACCCATTTAGGGTTGAATGGCTAGAGGATGTAGCAAAGGGAGAAAACTAAATGCCTCAGCCAAATCAAAGTAACGAAGAGGCAATCAATGCAGACTGCACTAACATTAGAAATATCCTGGCTGAATACTTCCAGGAATAATTTAACCTTACAAAACAAATAATTAAGAAAGTAATAATTGACCATACTGTTACATACACTCACTACAAAGAATTTCTATGTGTATATGCCATCTTTTGTTTACTTTTATTGTTTCATTTTGTGTGTTTGCAGAAAACTAAAAAATGGTCAAACTAAATTGGTTTATTTTCATAATAAAAATCATACAACAGAAAAATAACTGATAATCTTATAACACAGTGGGTCTATTATAACTATATATGTGATCAGCTCTGGCCAAATGGTTGCTATGGAGTTCAATTTGTTTCCAAAATTTTCAATATCTTCTTTCTTAAAAGTAATATTATGGTACATTCAAATTTAAATATTCCAAGCATATTTCTAAGTCACATACTAATTTAAAGGTATTTGGATACAGAATTTAAATTGACACCTTTTGGCATCTTGATTTTTGATCCATGCATCTCATTAAGCCAGAGTTGGATTATATAATAAGAGGTCCAATTGTCATCTTTGTTGTCCATCATTGAAGAAGTGTATGTAATTAAAAATATACAGTGGACTCTTTCACTTTCAACATTGTACAGGACCGATACAATGCCAGATTATACACCATGACGGAATACTTAATTGTCTCAAAACCGCAAGTATTATTGTACCTCGAATACCAAAGTATTATTTTAATGCACCTTCGAATACCCAGAACTTAAAAATATGATAAACCTTTTTGTACATTTGAAACTTTATTATATAAAATTATTATGTTTTTACTTTGGGTGCGTACAAAACACTTGTGCGTCGTTATGAACAAAATATTATAATGATAGTGATTCTTCATCTCAGCAATTTATATTTAATGTTGCTGTATTTGACGTGAAAAAATCAAATGAAATACCAAGCACTCTCTTACAAGAAATTATAAAATTATCAAGGTTTTATTAACAAAGACTGACACATACACCAAGCTCACCGATAATTGATTGCTTGTGGGTTAACACCCACTGATTGAAGGCAGGATTATCCAATGTTAATTCAACAGAAATCGTTTAACGGGGTCCCCAGATTGGTCTAATAATTCGGAATATTCCGAGTCCACTGTACAAGCCTACACTATAAAGTTATTGATCAATTTTTAATTTATGTCTTTCAATTAATGTATTAAATAAAAGAGAATTTACCATTTTTGAAAACGTAACAAACTGTTTTGTTCTTATTAGGGGCTTATCAATTGACTTACAAAGAAGAAAACACCCACCTCATACCGTTTCGCATTATTTGATAACGATAAGAAGCCAAGTCAAAACTTTGCTTTAGATATAAACAAGGATTGTCCTGTGTATTCCCAGTTCAATTGCTAAATGCCATTGAAACAATTAATCTCATACTGGTAATTTAAATTCATAAAAACTGAAATCACATAAAACGTGTTACAACTACAGTTAACTTTCACAACCAAGTACATATATCAGCTTCATGACACATTTGATAATGATATGGATATTAATAATTAAAACATGGAAATAAATTTATTAAAACTTGAGCCATGGTAAAATGGAATGACAAATAAAATTCATGTATTTGTAGAAACAAAAATAAACTGTTATCAATGACAATAATTGCGCTACATGTCAGATATTTTGGCACAAAATGGTATATCTTGAAAATAATATGATTCAGCTTCATGATACATTAAGTTAAATGATATGGATATTAATAATTAAAACATGGAAATTAATTTATTAAAACTCTAGCCTGGGCACAATGGAATGATAAATAAAACTATGTATTTCTACAAACAAAAATTAACTGTTATCAATGAAAATAAATGCTCTACATAGCAGAACTTTTGGCACAAAATGATAGGTCTTGAAAATAATATGGTTTTATAAATTTGTATATGTGTGTCCATTAGCTCCTTGTAAAAATTGTGGCTGCGGAACATGTCCATTTTGTTGTTGAGAAAATTGATGCTGCTGAAATCCCTGATTGGCAAACAAACTCCATAATCTTAATTCATGTTGCCTATCTCTTTCCCTATCCTGGCGTCGTTGTTCCTCAGCTCTAAGTCGATCCTCCCGTCTCTGCTCTTCTCTAAGTCTCTCTGAATCTGCCTCCATTCTCATTCTTTTTTCTTCGAATTCAAAATATGATCTTTCTTGTTCTCTTTGATAATTTATAAAGCTGGTTGTTGTCTCATTCAGAACACGTTGAATTATATCCTCTCTGTTTCTTTTTTTCTTTTCTGGTCCTGTAAGTAAATAAAATAACTCTTTAATGTTTAAATAAATGAACAATGATTGACAATTCGGGCCTCGAAATATCCCTTCAGTAACTAACCTGTCACTCTTAATTATCCAAAAACAACCACAATATTTACCATGGTGCCGTTACACATGTACTTCTGTGTAGATACTTCAAAATGCTATAGATGAAAACTTGTGTGGATGGTGTGTTAAAGTTCTTATACAATAATTGGGCGTGGTTCTGTCCCTGGAGGTCATAGGAGCGTAATTAAAATTGTCACTCGCAGACTGTTGATAAAAACAAATCAGACTGGAACCGGATACACAGGGAAAACCGGCAATGCGCATGTCAACTTACCAAATCTCGCCCAAGACGTCATACATTTTGACGTCAATGAATATAATTCTCCTACTTTTTAATTCTTTTTTTTAAACAAAATTAATCAAACAATTTAGATCTAAATTAAAATCAATTCGGAAAAACGAGATTATTTAACATTACTTGTATCAGTTGAGAAACTGAATTATGAAAGTTTTATATTTAACAAAAACCACACCAACTTTGTTCTACTTAGTCGACGCCTTTTACATATTATATGTAGGCCTATATTTACAGAAACTGGTTTAATTCTTAATTTACAAACAAACCATGTCCATTTTTGATGAAATCCATAATTAAAATTTTAAACTACAATTTCCGCTTTAACTAAGCCTTTAACTCTGTCAACATCCGGTGGCTTGTTTGGGAGCATTTCAACCCCGGTAACTTACAATTATATTAGTGCTGTATTTTTTGTCTCGAGGGGGGGGGGGGGATTTAAGGATGGGGTTTAGGGCAGAGTCCAAGTAAGCGCCCAAAATTTTCACTAAAGGATATTAACAAAATCAATAAACGTAATATGATTTGAACTTTACGTCAACTTGAATCGTTAGATAATGATCGGCGAACAATAATATATAGGCAATAGGATCTATATTCTACTCAGTGTTATGGGAATTATTTTGTTGACATCCATTGTAGGGTGGGAGATTGTGGATGGCACCCTAGTATCATATCAAATATAGATACAAATTATTATTATATGAGTTGGATTTTATACAGATTTTGTTTTCTAGTGAGTTTAGTGCGTTATATATTTGCGTACAAGCGACATTAGAACCTTTTACGAACTGTTTTGGGTCGGATGTTTAACTAAGGGGCTATATACTGTAATTATTTTTTCTTTTGACCAATTTCGGGACCTTATATACGGACGACACACACAAGGACTAAGCTTATCAAATATATTTGTAGCCCGTTTATTTCCAATTATATACTATTTTTTTTGTTCTGTGAAAGTTCTCTTAATTGAGAAATAGAAGAAAAAAAACGATCGAGTTCTAACGAAATTGTTAAATTTAAAAGCAGATTTTTAGAACTCTATCTTAAAATCAACGTCATATACTTATTCAACGCAACGCCGTATGTAGATATAGTTGCGACAACTGTGAAGCCAGAAATTTCATATGACGTCAAGAAAATATAACGTCAAGTGTACAAAGACGCCACCTTGGGTCCCAAGTATTTGTACCTACTCACTTTCTATTTTATGTCCTATCATACTGTTGTGTCGAAGTTGGCTGCCAATGACAGGGATGTGGATGGATATCTCATAGAATTCCACGAAAAAGAGATAAAATATACATATTTTAAACGAAAAGTATAGCTGAACAAACTATTATTATTATTATTATACAACAAAATGCGCACATTATTGTTATAATAATATAGTCTAATTCATAAGAAAATGAAATGAAAGATACACCAGATAAAAGCGCTATTAAATATATTGCACTATTTAGTGCGTCGGTCGTGTCTATTTCAGATATACACAATCAATTCTGTTGATGTTTTTAGCGTTGGGATTGACTAATAGTTAATGTGTTTCAGTTCTAAATCAAATATTTTAAACTTTAACGTCAATTTAGAAAATAGCCAAATTCTGGCTGGAATTACTGGGCAAAATGGCCATTCACTGTATACGTGCGAAAAAAAAAGCTAGCCACCAATTAATTTTCGTACGTTAGTTACGTACGTCTCAAAGCATGTCTAGTGTCCATGACTATTTGTCATATTACAACCTGCATAGGTATTTGCATTTTAATATCCCCTACTTTTTTGAAGAGTATATCGTGCCTGAGATTTGTTACAAATCGCCTCGAGCATGTTCCACACATCTCAACATTTATCAGCTTTTTGTTTAATCTATAAAAGCCTACATTCCTACACAATGTTTTGTTAAGTCAAGTGAAACAAGAAAATGTGTAGGCTAAATAGAACTATAGAACACGTACACCTTAATGTCGACAAATACGTAAAACTATGCAAATAAGACATTCCTATGATATGATTCAACCGAAAGGTCCTATATATCCATGATATAATATCTACATTCAAGTTAAACGAACCGCATCTATTCATTTTAAATCTTGCCTCGAGCTGAATAAATTATGTGATTTATAACATCTACGGGTGGTTAACAGTGTATAACTAAAAACTATGATTAGATTTGTATTGCCAACATTTGAATGTAGCTTGAATTTTCTACACCTTGTCTATTGCATCTAGATGTTTAAAGCGCGTTAACAATATATTCATTTAAGAGCAACTATGTCATTTCGGGATTAATGTACCACATATTACAAGTCATACCCAACGGAAAGAAATGACGATTAATGAAAATTCCACCAATTTTAATTTCTACCATCAAGAATTCTCGAAATTAAATTTTTGAGATTATGGCTGCTTTTTTATCGCTTCCACGTTGCTGCCAGTTCCAGGAATAAGATAACACTCAGCATCTTGAATTACGGTCATTATAGAAGGTCGACTCAGCAGATTAGAAATGAAATTGGTGATGGTGATACAAAACTCCTTCATGGAGATGTCAACACAAGGATGATTGGTGATGGTGATATCAAAACCATTCATGGAGATGTGAATACAAGGGTGACTGATGATGGTGATACGAAAACCCTTCATGGAGATGTCAACACAAGGATGATTGGTGATGGTGATATCAAAACCATTCATGGAGATGTGAACACAAGGGTGACTGATAATGGTGATACGAAAACCCTTCATGGAGATGTGAACCCAAGGGTGATTGATGATGGTTATACCAAAAACCTTCTTGGAGATATGAACCCAAGCGTGGTTGTTGACGGTGATATCAAAACCCTGCGTGGAGATGTGAACCCAAGGGTGATTGGTGATGGTGATATGAAACCCCTTCATGGCGATGTGAACACAAGAATGATTGGTGATGGTTATATCAAAACCATTCATGGAGATGTGAACACAAGGGTGACTGGTGATGGTGATACGAAAACCCTTCATGGAGATGTGAACCCAAGGGTGATTGGTGATGGTTATACCAAAACCCTTCTTGGAGTTATGAACACAAGGGTGGTTGTTGACGGTGATATCAGAACCCTGCGTGGAGATGTGAACCCAAAGGTGATTTTTTTAAAATCCTGCTACAGATTGCACTATATCTGTAAAGTCGTCCGCTGTTGTAAAAATTCCGTAACAGTTTTAACTCCATATGCCGTAAAATCGTCTGATGATGGAACCTTTCTGAAAAATTTGAATGGACCTATTTCTGTCAAAGCAACACATAAAGAAAACATTAACACCGGAGATGCCAAGAAAGCTGACGAAATTATGTCTGAAAGTCTAATTAAAACGTCATCAAGCGGAAATAAACTCCATCAAGTGGAAATAAACGCCATCTAGCGGAAATTCTGTATGTACTCAATTTTCCCGCTATTTAGTCAATATAGCTCATGCTGTAGGTCATGCTTATTAAAAGAGAAATCCACTGAAGCTTCGGTAACACTTCAATTAATTCTCCCGACTTGTTATCATAACATTATTACACCATGCGGGTTCTTAG